GTTCATAGTTTGCCTATCCCTGCAGTATGCTCAAATACTACAATTTATTGATCTCCTCCCCAGTTGATAAACACCCGTTTTAGTCCAGTTTCTTGCTACAACAAAGGGCTGTTACAAATATTATTGTATACATGAGTTCTTTCTCTCTGTACTTGACCTCCATTGGGAATGCCTAGTGGTGGTATCGCTGGGTCAGAAGATACATAGTTTAATGACTGCTGGCTTGGGTGTAGTTTCAAATATTGTACAGAATAGTTCACAGCTGTAGTGATTTAGAACACTTTTTCATATGGTTGCATTTCTTCATTTTAAAATTGCCTTTTCATATCTTTCGCCTTCTCTTATTATATAGTGGGGAGTGGCTCTTTTTCTTATATATTTGTTTCAATTCTTTATATATCTTCTTTACTGTTAGGTGCTTTTACCTAAGAAATTTACTAAGATTATTTTTTACAAATAATTGTTTTCAGGGGCATCTAGGTGGTGCAGTGGATAGAGCACCCGGTCCTGGGTTCAGGAAGACCTGAATTCGAATGTGGTCTCAGACACTTGATGCTTACTAGCTGAGTGACCCTGGGCAAGTCATTTAACCCCATTGCCTCCCCCTCTCCCCCAATAAATAAATAAATGTTTTCTCTCGTATTTTAATGTGTGGGGTTTTTTTTGCATATACACAGGCTTTCACTTTTTTGTAATCAAAACTGTCCATTTTATCTTTTATGATCACCTCAATCCCTTATTTTAGGGTAAGAATTGCCATATATTGTTGTTGAAGACATTTTCTAATTTGTTTATGATTTGACCTTTTTTATTTAGATCATGTATCCAACTGGAGTTTTTTGTGGTATAAGTTGTGCAGTGTTAGTCCAACTGTTTTTCATTCTCCCTAGTACTTTTTGTCAAATAGGAGGTCCTTGCTCCAGTAGTTGGTGCCCTTCCGATTTATCAAATATGCTAATATGTTTTATTCCTTCAAGGCTTTGTTTACCTAATTTATTCCATTCATCAACTTTTTGAATAATTTTGATGAATATTTCAAATGTGAAAATTTTGTTGAAAATTAATTATTAGCATAGCTTGAGACTTTTTCCTTCATTGTTCCCTTTGATCTTCTTGACCTTTTGTTGCTACAGATGAATTTTGTTACCTTTTTATCTAGTTATACAAAGTAACTCTAGTAGTTTGCTGCAACCACTAAATCAGTAAATTAAGCAGTGTTGTTATTTCAATTAGATTAACTCAGTATCTCAGATAAGCAAATGATCAAAGGATATGAATAGGCAGTCATCAAAGAAAGAAATTCAAGCTGTCAACAACTATATGGAAAAACAACTCCGAAATCATCAATAGGGAAATGCAAATTAAACATTTCTAAGGATGTGCCTTCCTCCATTTGGCAAAGATGACAAATAAAACAAAATAAAAATTTTGGAGAGATTATAGGACATTAGGTACCTTAGATGCAGTGGAGCTATAAATTGGTATGACCATTCTAGAAAGCCATTTGGAGCTATTCCCCCAAAGTTGTGACCCAGAGAATTTGATACTAGGCCTATGCCCAAAAAAAGAACTCAAAGACAAAAAGGACTCATGAAACAAAATATTCAAAATAGCTCTTTTTGTAGTGGTAAAAAAAAAGTAACTGTGAAGGAATTCTTAAATTGGGGAATTGTTGAACAAAATATAATATATAGTATAGGATGAAATGTCATTGCACAATAAGAAAATATTTTTTAAAAAATGTTTTCAGAGAACCAGTGCAGAACAAAGTGAGAATTCTGTTTTTAAAAAGCTATTTCTCTTTACAATGTTACTGTTACTGTATAAATTTCTTCTGGTTCTGTTTGACCAGCCACAGTTCTAGAGTACTCATGATGAAATATACTGCCTACCTCCTGGTACAGGTGATCAACTCAAAATGCATTATGAGACATACAATTTTAGGATGTGGGCAATGCAATAATTTGTTTTACTTTACTATTTATATGTGGTACAAGGATTTTTTTTTAATTGGAGAGAGAATAGATGGGAGAGAGAAGACAGCTAGTAATAGGGTTAGTAGAAAGACCAAAAGGCATTACAGAAAAGCAGGATGATTTTAAAAGTTAAATGTAGAATTTATTGTGTGCCTAAAAAAAAAAAAAGCAAAACCCTAAATAAATGGGATTCACAGTTTTCATGTATAATATTCTCTTCTAAGAGTATATTTAGAAATGCACATTTGATTTAGTGTTTAAGTTCAGAATGAAAAGAAATGAAAATAAAATATTTTATTGGCTTGGCCAAGCCATCAAGAATTAATATTTCTTCAGTTATTTAAGACTTTTGTTTTTGTAAAGAGTACTTTGTAGTTATCATCATGTAAGTCCTGAACTATATATATATATATATATCTTACTAAGACAACTACCAGATAATTTATATAAGATCAAAGGCGAAGTGTTGTCCATTGTCCACACTGTTAATAAATGTAGTTCCTGAAATCCTTGATATGACGATAAGATAAGGAAAATAATTGAAGGAATACATGTAGGCAAGGAAGAAACAAAATCACTGGTATTTGTAGATGATTTTATTGTTTACTTACAGGATCTTTCAGATTAAACTAAAAATTAATTGAAATAAATAGTACCTTCTGTTAAAATAGTGAAATATAAAATAAACCCATAAAAATTATCAGCATTTCTGTATATTATGAACAAAATCCAACAGGAAGAAAGAGAAATTCCATTCAAAGTAATTACAGTTTATCATGGAAATCTTGTAGCTAGTACTTGATGGATTACCTGCTACTTCAGTTTTCAGGCAGTTTTTCATTTAGTTCAGACTTCCGATGTTGATTCTCCAATGACTTTCATGTGTGACAAAAGCTACTCCTAGGCTTCTGTGATTACTTAGTTTATCTTGACTTTAAGATTCTACAGAAGGAGAATTTTACCACTATCATTACATCCCCTGTGACTGAGACTAGTGTCAATAATAGGACTTCCAGCAGGGAAGAGATATCTCTCTGGAGGGAAAATACATGACAGCTCTCTATCTAAAAACAGAAGGTTCTGATTGATACCATTAAAATTAGGATTTTTCTGAAAGTGATAATTCTAGGTATGATATAATTTCTTTTTTGTCCCTTTATAGTATCTAAAACAGGGCTCTGTATGAAGCAGGTGCTCATTAAATACTAATATTGTCATTAAATACTAGATATTGTCAAAAACTGGTACATAAGGTAGCTTATGTGGTTTAGAAATTGGTTATATTTTTAAACCTGAGATGTTTCATATTTGCCTTGTCATTATTAGTTTGACTTTTAAAAGGTCTTTTTCAAAATTGCCTTTTTCTTGATTCCTTATATATTATTGACCATGCAAAGAAAAACTAGTAAGTACATTTCAGTTTTGAGTCTACAGCTGTGATCAGTGTGAGAAACAAAAACTCCCTCTATCTTGTGCAAATCCTCAAGTAGTCTGTTAAATTAGAGCCTTAGAGTATTGCCTAGGGGCATGGATATGTTAAGTGACTTGCTTATGGTCGAATAGCTAAGTGGCACAGTGAATAGAGCACTGGACTTGGAACTCATCTTCTTGAGTTCAGGTCCAGCCTCAGACACATACTAGCTGTATGACTGTGGGCAAGTTAGTTAATGCTTTTTGCTTCACTTCCTCTGTAAAATGAGCTAGAGAAGGAAATGGCAAACCAGTCCAATATCTTTGCCAAGAAAACCCCAAATGGGAACACAAAGAGTTGGACATGATCTGAAAAACGACTTAACAACAGTACATTCACCCACCTAGGTTGCATCATTTAGTGAACTTTAACTTATGTCTTCCTAACCATAAGGACCCTCGCCACAGTGACACTTCGTCTCCATCTCATGTATAGATAGAACATTTTACTGCCGTTTATTAGGGGTATAGATGAACATTCAACTCAACCCCAAAATTGACTCTCACTAAGAACATCTGTGTTTAGTTCTGGGGGAAAGTTTGGTCTGATAAAAACAAAATAAAATTGTCCTAATTAGAATGAGAAAGTGTGTAATTTTTGTACATTAAACCTTAGTTGAAGAATTAAATAAATTAAATTGAAGGTATTAGACAAGTTTCTCTTTATTTTTCTACAAAGATGTTATATACACAGTAAATATTATTAGAGTTTACTCTTCTATTTATTACTTCCTTTGGAAATTAGAATGGTATCACAGAGGACCAGCTTTTCAGAACAGTAGAACTGTCTGACTCTCTCGCATCCAATCCCTTTTCTCCATTCACACAGCTCCTTACCCCTTCATTCACTTCCTCGTCACATCTCTCCTAAGTTGTCACAACAGCCTCCTAAAGAATATCCTTGCCTCAAGTCACTTCCCATTCTAGGTAACCCTATACACTGCTACCAAAGTAATTTTGCCAACCTGACCATGTGACTCCTCCTATTCAACCAACCTCAGTGGCTTTTTCTTGCTTATAGGATAAAATATAAGCTTCTGTGCTTAGATCTTAAAGTCCTCTTTCTCTCTTCAGAAGGAATGATGCCACTTATGTATGATTTTCTGACTAATATATTGTCTCATCTGGCACTTTACTTCTCTCTTGCTTTGTACAGTGTTCCCTAAATCCTGTACCTGGGGAGCTATTAACCCCATGTCAGTTATCCCTATCATTTTCCCCTATTAGTAACGCTTTTGAAATTTTTTTTCAGTTTTATAATGGAGTCTATGCTTCAGTGTATAAAGTTTTACTTTCCAGGGAGCTTTGCAAGAAAACATTTACTTTCTTTACATTAAGCTTAGTGGTCTGTCAGAATAAATTTCCCATGGTTACCCAATATGGTTTTAATATTTTGTTAATATATGTAGGCAAATCTCAATATGTAAGATTAAAAAGCCAAATGATTAATTTTTATTTTAATTTTGTTAGAGTAAATGTAATTTGAAACTAAAAATCACCTTTTTCGTTGATTATATATCATTAGTTTGTCATTTTCTCTTTTTCTTTTTAAAGATACCAGTACTTTTTGCAGATTAAACAAGACATTCTTACTGGAAGGTAAGCTGTTTTTGTTTTTTGAATCCTGTGGTAAAAATATTTTTTTTAATTTTCTGATTAGTTACATAAATATTCTCACATCTATAGTTTTATGTTTAAAATTTATCAGAATGCAAAATCTTAAATATTATTCTATTCCTCTCTTTAATAATAGCTGATGTTTTTATAGCATTTTAAAGTTTGCAGAGTGGTTTATATACATTATCTGTGTCCAGATTTCTCTATACTTTCTTCTCTTCACTCTCAGCACTCTTTCTCATTAATGGCACCAGTTCCCATGGTTTTTAATAATTATCTCTATGCAGATAACACGTCTTTCTATACAGCCTTATTCTGTCCACTGCATTCTAGTCCAGTATCACCAACTTCCTATTAGACATTTTCAACTAGATGTTCCAGAATTACCTCAAACTCAACATGTCTTAAACCAAATCATTATTTTTCTCTCCAAAACCTATCCCCTCTACCAAACGTCCCTATTTTTTGAAATTACCACACTTCCAATGTCCCATTATAACCTAGTTACTGTCCTCAATTCCTTATTCTCCCTCACCCCACATATCTAATCAGTTACCAAATTTTAAGTTCTTCCTTTTAACCCTTGTCTTTATATAACCACCACCCTAGTTCATGCACTCATCACCCATCTCCTGTTTATTTCAGCAGCCTTCTAATTGGTTTCCCTTTCTGAAGTCTCTCACCACTCTAGGGCATCCTCCATAAATCTACCAAAGTGATTTCCTCAAGCACACATCTGATTGTATTTGTCCTCTACTCAGTGAATTCCACTTGCTCCTTGAGATCAAATATAAACTACTCTGTTTGGCTATTAAAGCCCTCCCCAACCTGGCTCCACTTTATCTTTCTAATCTTATTGTACATTAACTCTTCTCACACTCTGTGGTCCAGTGATAATGGCTTCATCTCCTATCTCCTTGTCTTTGTGATGACCATCTCCTATGCCTGGAATGCATTCCCTCTTTACCACTACTTCCTAGAAGCCATCTCTTCCTTTAAGAATGACCTTCTGTATAAAGCCTTTTTTGATTCCTCCCCCAACTTCTAATGCCCTCCTAATTTGTATGTATTCTTTGTAGGCTTATATGTGTGTGGATGAATAGATAGAGAAATGGATGGATGGATGATGTCCTCCCGTTAGAATGTAAGCTCTTTGAGAGTAGAAATTGTTTCATTTTTTTTAGATCTTTGTCTCCAGCACTGAACACTTTGCCTAGTTAGAACATAATAGGTGCTTACTAAATTTTATTAGTTCATTATTTTATCTTGTTTGACAACCTCCTTCCCCTCAGCAAAACTGTCAGGTAGGTGCTGTTCTCATCCCCATTTTATAGGTGAGACGGGGGATAAGAGATGTTAATCAACTTGCCCAGGATCTTGTAGCTATTAAGTATCTGACACCAAAATCAGACCCAGGCCTTGCCAACTTCAAATCCATCCCTCTTGTCCACTACACCAGTATAAAAATATTATAACAGAATAAATAATGCACATACTGCGTGCTGACTGTGACAGCAAAAGCATTACCAAAATTTTAAAAGACCAAACCATGACACTTTATTAAGAGTGCCTCCATCATCTTCGATAAAATTCAAGCCAGACTGATCTAATGCTAGCCAATTGGCAACCTTACATGCCCAATGGTATGGTTATTGTCTTCAGAAGTTTACATTTAAAAAGAGATGAGGAAAGCACAATATGGATTTTACCAGAGAGTCTTAAGAAAGTATTCTTGTTTTGAGGCTAAAAATTAAATTACTGAGTCACTAGAAATTCAAATCAGTATTTTGAAATAGAAATATACTGTGAGGATTTTTAAAAGATTGTAATAAATATCTTCTCCTTTTATCAGATTGCCCTGTCCTTATAATACTGCTGCCCTTTTGGCTTCCTTTGCTATTCAGTGTAAGTATTATAATTATATATTTACCTAACATTTTTCAGTCTTCCAAACTAGAAAATAATACATAGTTATGGTTTTTTTTCTTCGTCTCATCTGTATTAGGTTCCCAATATTTTATTCATAGTGAACACTTAATGAATGTTTTTCATTGATTCATTTTATGTTCTTAGTATCCTAGAAAATCATTACCCTATAAAAAAAATTTTTCAATACGAAAACCTTAAGATTAAGGTAAAATGTAATTTAAATGGTTTTAGGCAGAAGTTGAAGAATAACATGGACAGATGCTTGTTATTTGCCAAAGCAAAATTTTTTTCCTTATAGAAATTATTTTAATTCCTATATGGTTGTATTAAATAAGAGATTCATCTCTAAATTAAAGTGTGAGCATTTTTCTTTTGTCAGCTGAATTGGGAGACTACGACCATTCAGAAAACTTGCCAGGCTACCTCTCTGATTATTCTTTCATCCCTGGTCAGCCTCAAGACTTTGAAAAAGAAATCACAAAATTACATCAGCAACATATGTAAGTTTAGAATTTGTACTTATTTAGTGAAATCAGAGTAATTTGTGTCTTTTTATTAACTGCAGTTATTATGGTGCTGCACAGATTCTTTAAAATCTGTTGAGTTTGTACATATTATTTAAAATGCCATCATTCAAAAAAGAATGCTAATAGAGATAAAACAGGCACTTTGCATAAAATTGAAAATAAATGCACAAAATAAATGCAGTTAAATTTAGAAGGGAAACAGCTGGGGTTTTTTTAAGTATTTTTAATAAATTTATGACAAAAGATTGATACCTTAGCTATGTAGGTAATTGATTCAAATATATATGAAAAAGAGCCATTCCCCATTAGAAAAAGGTATGAATAAGCAGCTTTCCAAAAAGAAGAAATGCAAGATATCAATAACCAAATGGAAAAATGCTCCATATCACTAGTATTAAAAGAAATTGTAAGTTTAAACAACTCAGGTTACGCCTTATACCTATCAGATTGGTGCAGATAGGGACATCTCGGTGGCGCAGTGAATAGAGCGCCGGCCCTGAAGTCAGAAGGCCCTGAATTCAAATCCAGCCTCAGACCAAACACTTGACACTTACTAGCTGTGTGATCCTGGGCAAGACACTTAACCCCAATTGCCTAAAAATTAAAACAAACAAACAAACAAAAAACAGATTGGTGCAGATGGCCAAAAAGGATTAACACAATTATGACAAAGGCTGTGGGAGAGCAGGCCTGCCATTGCACTGTTGCTAGACCTGTGGAATGCTCCAGGCTTCCTGGAAGGCAGTTTGAAACTTAATCTGAAATGTCACTAAACCATTCATACTCTTCCCCAAAAAGACTTTTTCAAAAAGGGGAAAGACCCATATGTACAAATATTTATGGCAGCACTTTTGTTTTAGCAAAGAACTGGAAATAAAATGAGGCATCATTTGAAAAGTGATGAAACAAATCCAGCATCACTTCTAACATACCAGCTTTATTTAAACAAAAATATTCTTTTACGCAATTTAAAGTTGATAGTTTTTAAATAAATGCATCATTTACTTCAAATATTTTTATATACTCTTAACAAAATATCATGCAATATAATGGACATTTCATATCATTCCTCACTAGTAGTTATTTGCAAGTTCTTGGTTTTCTTTGTTACAGAACCAAGAAGAGAATAAAGAAAAAAAGAATATTAAGTGATACTAAGTTTATAAGTAACATTATTTTTTAAAAAGATATAATTCTCATTATGTGTTATCTTCATAGATTTTCAAGTAAAATATTTGTGATACTTAACTATTGTTGCGTAGTTGTGTGTTTTTATCAGGCTATAATTTAAAATCAAATTGTGTATTGATTCATTTTTGTAGTATATGATAGCAAGTGAGCAGTGTAAGTTGAATGGGAGAATTAAGAAAAAGCCCTCTGTCAGTTTGCTAAATATATATTTTATATAATATATTGTATGTTATATATGTTAAACAAGATAAATATATATTTTGCTAGGTAGTACCATATGTGCATCCATGGGATGAAAAAGATATAATGGATAGGTTCTTTACAGACCCTTGGCATTGTCCTGTTCAGAAATTTGTATTCTAAAAGACAGCCCTACTTAGAAGAATAACTTTTAGGTGGCTTGGCAAATACAGATGTATAGATTTTTTAATATACCTGATTTTTAGAATTTCATAAAAATGTAAAGTCTCAAAAAGATTTATATGGTTGGGTAGACACAAGCATTTTTTTAATTACTTGATTTTGGGGAAGATATTTTTGATATAGTTGTCCACTTAATGTATTTCAGACATTGTCAGTAAATCTGATGTAAGTGCATTTTTTTGGTAAATGAAGCTTATGTGCCCATTAAAAATTTCTTAATCATTTAAACCAAAATCTTTCTAAGATCTGATTTTTTTTAATGATTCAAGATCATCTTTATGACCCTTAAGTTATTATACAGTACCGTAATGTAGTAATTTTCCTTATATCCTTCCTTGGAGAATACCTGTCAGTTGTCAACTATCCTTGTAGCTGCTTCTATGCATTTTCTTTCCTAGTTTATAGCTTTTAATGTGCTATCAATTGAAGCACCTGATAATCAGGGTTGCTAAAATTATGTATAATCTCTGAATGGAAATCAATCACAGTGGCGTAGTTTTAAGGCATTCTGTTTTCTTTTATTCTATACACCCTCATTTTAACTTGGTTATTTCTTTGTAAACCTTCTGTGTACTTATTTTCTATTTTCCATTGTTGTTATTTACATGCATGTCTTAATTTCCCTACTAAATGATTGAGAACATAAACTGCGTCTTAAGGAAATAACACTGGCTCTGGGGTCAGCAGACTTGGGTTCAGATTCTGTCTCTGATGTTCACTGCCTATGTGACCACAGGCAAATCATTTAATCTTTCTGGATGTCAGTTTCTTTGTCTGTAAAATGAGGTTGTTGGACTAAATGGCTTCTGAGGTCTTTTCTAACTCTGTATCCATGGCTGTGAGTGCCTAAAACACAGTAATGGCCCTTACTGTTCTTTAATTTATATTGAATCTAGGTGTTTTAGCAGCCAGAAGGACTTTTAAAAAACAACAAAAACCTTCCTGGTTCTTAAGTGTTCCAGTAGTTAAGGTTTTCACATTAAGATAAGTGTAGTTTTGTTCTATACAAGATTAAATTTGTCATTAAATGATAGTCATAGGAGGCTCAAATACATTTTAAGTAGCAAGGCATTTTTAAATTTCTTGGAAAATATCATATATCCAAAGCATATCTATATTTGAGACTTAGCTGATTTTTAATCTAGTGTTGTTCTTACAGAGGCTTATCTCCTGCAGAAGCAGAATTCAATTATCTCAACACAGCTCGAACCTTAGAACTATATGGAGTTGAATTGCACTATGCAAGGGTAAGTGAGGATGAAATATTAATATTCTTAAGTTACGCTTCTTTATTTAGTCTAAAAATTGTTTTTATATTAGTAGGAAAAAAGTAAATTTTTTTTGTCAAGGGATAACATTAAAGTGTTTAGAGTACTTGCAGCTGCATTGAACATTTTACTTGTCATATGCATGTGTTTTTATTCAGTTTAGCATTGGTTTTGACATGAGCTTCAAATTTAATACCCACTTAAGCAGACAAGAGAAAGTTCATTTCTTCCATGATGAATGAAAACTCAATCTGAAAAGGTTGTAGAAGTATTTTTTTTCAGATAGATTTAATTCTTCTTTTCTGTATACTTTCCTGAGTCATAAAATGCTGAAAACTTTGTCAGTAATTTTAATGTAGTAATCTTAAATTGTAAGATGTGAGATTAGAGATGATCTTTGAGCTCTGTTTTATGATTCTGTGCATTCAACTCTTCTCATTTAGTTCCATATGGTTATTCTTTTTGTTTGTTGTACTTAACTAATAAATCAGATGAAAACCAAAATAACCACATTTTGCAGAAGAATAAGATATTTTTTGGCTTGGTTATATCTAAAAATTAAATATAACCTCCCTGCCACATGCATTCTAAATCTTTCTTTCCTTTTTCCTTATGTTAACTTTTGCTTCTTAAAACTATGGTCTGTTCCCCAGAAGTCTACTAGTACACACCTGTCAGATTCCTTTCATAAAGTTCATTCATCTCCCTCTTTAAGAAACAAAGTTGAGGTCCATCTCATGAGTGGCAGAGATGTTGAGACTCATAATCACATTCCATTGTTTTCTGTTGATTTTTTTTGTTTCTTTTGTTTCTTTTTTTGCTAGGCAGTGGGGTTAAGTGACTTGCCCAGGGTCACACAGCTAGTAGATATCAAGTGTCTGAGTCCGGATTTGAACTTAGGTCCTCCTGACTTCAGGGCTGGTGTTCTATCCACTGTGCCACCTAGATGCCCCTTTTTCTAATGATTTTTAAGAAAGTTTTGTTTTGTAGAAAAATTTAGCTTTGAAATCTCTTATCAGATAAGATGCACTCTCTCTCATATGTCAGAATTTTAAGACTATAACAGGAAGATATTATGTCAAGGTAGTAAAGTCTTGAAATCGAGAAAAGAAACAGGGAAATTAAGTTGTAATTGTTATGAAAGATGTCCTTTATAAGATCCTAATAAAAGAAGGATTTCTGATTTATAGTGAGATTCTGCAAATGCTGCTTATAATTAACATCAAACTAGTTGCTTGGAATCACTACAAAGCTTCCTTTGTAATAGTCCTAGTCACATTAAAGAGATGGTCATCTAGCCTGAGAAAAACTAAGTGGATAAAAATTGCATCCTGCCAAGATTGTAACTCGACCTTCATATTAGTCCATTGGTTTGTGTAATCTTGGACAAACACTACAGTTTGACAATTAGCTAGAATTGGAATGGAGTAAGAAGAAGGAGATCATACTGAATGGAAATGGGGAAACTGGCAAAAGTCCAGCTTTTTAATACTAGTACAGTAAGAATCACTTGGCTAGTAAATATAAAAGCTAGGAATAGATCTTAAGTCTCCAGATTCCAAGTGCATCACTGATATTATACTCCCTCTAGAATATTCTGCTATTGATATTACGTATCAGATCTCAGAGGACTTAAAATTACAGATAATTTAAGGAATAACAGAAAGGTACCTACAGGGTATAGGATGTTACTAAGGAAAAGAAGTGGCATAACATTTATGGGAGAGCATAAGCAACAATCACATAGGTGGCAAGAAGTACAGGAGTTGAAATCTGTGTTGGTAAGGGAATTGCATAATGTTAAAATCATTTTCTTTCATGTGGGGCTATCTCATCTTCCTTTATCCATGTTCTCTTGTTTTTAACCAACTCTTGAGAATTTGTTAAGATATGGCATACATAGTGGTTAACATTTGTGCAACTAGATATTGTTTACTTTTTATTTTAATAAAATTGAAAGTAAAGTTAGAAATATGCTTTTTAAGAGGTTTTTATTTGGGAAATCCTCTGAATTCTAAATAACTGTCATAAATTAAGGCAGTGAAGTAATCATAGTTACAGACCTCAGCAGTTTTCATGAAATATTTTTGGATCTTTAAGAGAACATGAAGTCATGTGTTAGTTTTGAATTTATAATTTGAATGAATCTTTTGCTTATTAAGAACATTATTTTTTATTGTTTAGGATGAGGCAATATAAAGTGGTTTTGTAAAATACATTTTTGAAATATTATCATGATGTATAATACAATTTATTTTCATCTAAATCACCAGATCAAAGGAGATTAAATTTCAAAGTGAGAGGCTTGGATTTGAATGTAAAAGTTAAATCTGAGTCAGTCATTCAAAAACTTATCCAATCAACTTGAAGAAAAATGATGTCTGTGAACTGAGTAACTTTTATATGAAAAAGACATGGTGAAAGAAATTCCAAAAATGAGATCATAATCAGCCAGTCACCAAGATAAGGAAGTCAGTAGCAACAGTGTAGATGTGGTAAGAATGAATATTCAAAGAGAAAGGTGTCTTGGTTTCAGCAAATATGAAAAGTAAATGAATACAAATAAGAAAGTTTTACTGTCTGCCTTCATTATGAAAAAAAGTAAAAATCTGGAAGGTTGAAATAGTAATTCATAGGAATTAGTAGCTTGTAATTCTTCAAAGCTTATAAATACATTCCTTCTTCAGTTCCACCTCTCAGAATCCTTGCATTCCTTTGATCAATCAAGAAGCATTGGTTAAACACTTAAATATGTTGCTAGGCAATATAAAAGGCTCTAGGGATACAGGGAAACAAAAAAAGTGGAATAATACCTGTCATCCAAGAACTTGCCCTCTAGCTAGAGGAGGAGTAGGGAGAAGGCCCTCGTATCTAGGTGGGATCAGGAAAGGCTATATTTAAAATGTGACACTTGAAGGTGAAGGAAACTAGGCATTCTAAGAGGCAGAGGTGAAGATATGGTGCCATCTCTTTCTATTATTTTCATCTAGTATTGTCACCAAGTGGGCAGGAGTAGCTTCTTGTTAAAGGATAATACTAAGGGAATATATTTGCTATTAATAAATGTAAATGTGTACTAATCTTTATTACTGTCTTCTTATTAGTTGTTGTTAACTAGTCTTTACTCCTCTATACTTTTTCTTCTCTAGATTTTCATGACACTACACCCTCCTGGTTTACTTCTTACCTGTCTGACCATTCCTTTCTTTTACTGACTTAGCCACATCACTGACCTCACTGTGGTTCTGTCATAAGCCCTTTTCTCCTTCTACACTCTGAACAACCTTATTATCTCTCATGGGTAAACTATCATCTCTGTGTAGAAATATGTCCAGCCCCATTCTATTCCCTGTGCTTCTTTCCCATATCACTAATTGCATGTTGAACATTTCAAACTGGATATCTGCAGAGACATCTTAAATTCAACATATCTAAAACTGAACTCATTATCTTTCTCCTTCCCCTTTTCCAAATTTCTCTACTTCCTTCAAAGCCATTACTATCCTTCCAGTGTCTCAGGTTCATAATTTTAGACTATTCTCAGCTCCTTACTTTTCTATATTCCGTATATGCTATAAGTTGCCAAGTCTTACCATATCAACCTTACAGCATCTCTCTCTCCCTTGACCCTTTCTCTCTCTCTCTTCTTCTTACCCATCACCTAGTTTATTGTAACAGTCTCCCAACTAGGCTTCTCCCACTCCAGTACATCCTGCACACTGCTCCCAAAGGAATTTTCCTTAAAATGTGTCTGACCATGTGACTCCCTACTTAACTAACTCCATTGGCTTTCTGTTGCTATAAAGGATAAAATATAAATTCCTGTGGTTCACTTTTAAATCCCCATACAATTTGGCCTCAACCTACCTTGCCAGCCTTATTGGATATTAGTCCATATCCTGAATTCTGCAGCCTACCCTAACTGGATCCTCTCATTACACTCTATCTCCCGTTTCTGTGCCTTTGCACTGGCTGTGATCACACCTGGAATGTGTTCCCTCCCTACTTCTGCCTCATAGCATCCCTCTGTTATTTTAAGGTACAACCCAGGCATCACCTATTGCATGAAGCCTTTCCTGATCCCCTAACTATTAGTTCCCTTCCATCCTTTGTACCTTATTTAACAACTACTTTGTGTGGATATATAAACTTCATATTTATACTATAAATATTTATTTGTTTTTCAATTAGTATATAAGCTTATTTCATTCTTCATACATGTATCCTTAGCAGTTGGCACATAGTAGTTGCTTAATAAATACCCAATGATCAATTGACTTGATGAACTTAAGTAAGCTTTCTCAAACTTGGCAAAATGCACTAGACATTCTCAGTTGTACTTAGGTTAAGTATAAATTGATTAGATCATATTAAAAACAATTATTTTTTTCATGTTCAGTTTCATTTTTATTTCAGAAAAAAAGTGTTTGCCATGGAAGATAAAATGTTAAGAAAACTTGATACAGTATTAACTTTCTTAATGCTTTTGTTCTCTAAGAATGATTCTACTGTGCTATTAGACATATTAAAGAGAGAATCAAATAAACTTTAAAGTCTCCAACATTTTTTCATTCAGCAAGCATTTAATTGTCTAATATTGTGCTAGGTACACAGAGACCTTAGTAAAACAGTCTGCCCTCAAGGAGCTTATATTCTTTTGGGAGGGGATGGGGCACAACAAGAACACAAATCCTATTATACACCTCCAGATGGATAACCGAAAGACTCAGGGTACAGAGTGAAACATTTTTCCCTTTCTTTTTCTTGCCTTTTTGGGAGGATATCGCTAATGGGAAAGATAAAATAAAATTGGATTTAAAAAATATGATTCTCTGTAGGATAGTCAGTCTTTACACAAGCATTTCATTTATCATCAGTTGTTCTGCTCACCTTTTTCCTGTCCTGATAGCCTCTGCTCCTAAAATTTCTAAAGTTACTCCTTGTTGGTAACCCCTGGTAGCCACTGGTAATGTTGCCCC